TATATATGCATATTTTCTTTTTGCTTTTCCCTTCATTCTTTTCTCCAATCCCTCATCCTAGTTTCTTTCTGAAGTTTCTTCCCATTTTATAATGCCTAATGTAATTTTGGATCTTAGTTACTCTTTCAGCTTTTCACACTTGGGAGGTAATACAATCTTTGCACATGTGTGTCTGGTTTATTTCACTTATGAATATGGTCTCAAGTTGCATCCATTTACCTATAAAAGTCTCCACTTTGTCCTTTATGGCTGAGTGATACTCCATTATAGAAAAAGATTCCTTGGCTGTTGGGCATTTGGGCTGTGCCCAACATCTAGCTATTACGGATTGTGTTGCTATAAACATGGGCGGACGTATGTCACTGTGGCATGATGTTTTTAATTCTTCTGGGAAGATATCCAGAAGAGGAATAGCTGAATCCAACGGGCCCTCCAATCCTGGTTTCCTGAGGAATCTCCACACTGATTTCCACAGTAGTTGCAGCATTCTGCACTCCCACCAATGGAGAAGGGTTTCTTCTCCCCCACAGCTCCACCAGCATTTATTACTGGTTGATTTCTTGATAATAGCTATTCTTTCTGGAGTGAAATAGAATCGCAATGTTTTAATTTACGACTCTTGAATGACTAGTGGCATTGAACATTTTTTTCATGTATTTGTTTGCTGTTTGCATTTCATCATCTGTGAGTGTGTGTTCATCTTAGGTGCCTATTTTGGGCTTGATCTTTAAATTTGGAAGGTCTGATTTTTTGATTTCTTTATATGTGCTTAATAGTAATCCTTTGTCTGAGGAACAGCTGGAAAGCATTTTCTCCCATACTGTACATGGCCTTTTCACATTCACTTTGTTAGTGGTTTCACTTGCTGTGCAAAAGCTTTTTAATAAGATGAAATCCCAGTTGTTGATTCTTTGTGATAGTTCCTGTGCGATTGGGGTCATATTCATAAAGTCTTTGTTATACCAGTGCCTCCAATAGTTGTATCTATTTTATCTCCCAGCAGATTTAATGATTCTATTTAAATACTTAGATCTTTGATCAATTTTGAATTTAGTTTGGTGCATGGTAAAAGATGTGGCCCAATATTAATCTTTGGTATGTGGTAAGCCAGTTTTTCCAGCACCATTTGTTAAAGAGGCTATCTTTTTTTTGAGTGAATGTGTTTGGCATATTTGTGAAAGAAGGTGGCTGAGTAAGTCTGGAGTTGTTTCTGCATCTTCTAGTCTGTTTCATTAGTCTTTCGGTTTGCTTTTTTTTTGGGGGGGGGCTGGTGCCACACTGTTTTTATCACCATAGCTTTATAGTATAATTTCAAGTAAGGGATTGTGATGCTTCCTCCCTTGTCATTGTTGCCCAGAATTCCCTTTGGTATTGTAGATCTTGTCTGGTGCAAAATTATTGTTTTTCTAATTCTGTAAAATATGCAATTAGAATTTTGTTTTACATGTATTTAGTACAGGGTCTGCAGGGTCTCACTGTGTAGATTAGACTCATAGCGATCCTCCTGTTTTCAGCCTCCCAAGTGCTGAGATTACAGCATGCACGACCATGCCTCGTCTCAATCACCATCTCAGTGAACCCTGGGGGCGGGGCTGGCACAGCTTGTGGTGCCAGGGATTGAACCCCTGTCACTGCACTCTGTTTAAGCAGGCACTTCAGTCTGCTGAGCTATTTGGCTGGCCCTCAGTTAAAATTTTGGTTGAAATTACATCTCTATAACAGTTTTGGAAGTATGCTAATTTTTACTATATTAGTTCTTCCTACCCAAAAGCAAGGGATATTTTTCTTTTTTCAATATTCACTTCAAACTCATTTTAAGGAGTTCTATAATTTTTAATATTTTTTTCTAATGCAATACTGTGTATTAAACTTAGAACCTTGCGTTTGCCAGGCAGGCACTTAACCTGCTGAGCTATATCCCCAGTCTCCAAGTTCTGTAGCTTTTAATGTAGAGGTCTTTTACATACTTTGTAGATTGATTCCTAGGTATTTCTTTTTTTTCTTTTTGGATGCTATTGTGAAAGGTGTTATTTCCCTAATTTTTCTCTCAGTGAGTTTGCTATTCACATACAGAAAGGCTATTGATTTTTTTTTTTTTTTTGCTCGGAATGCCTTCAAGGCATGACTGGCTGGCTTGTGTTGTGGGGATCCAACCACAGCAACCTGAGCCTGACTGCTTTGTTGAAGCAGCCAGTTAAAGAACTGAGCTAAGGGGCAGGCCCCCATGGCAGAAGTGTTTTTTTTTTTTTTTTTTTGGCTATTGATTTTTGAGTGTTGACTTTGTATTCAGCTATGCTAATGAAATTGTTTATTAAATCTAGCAGTTTTTTTAGTGGAGTTTTTTGGATTTTTTTTGTGTAGAGTATCATGTCATCTGCAAATAGTGGTAACTTAACTTCTTCCTTTCTTATCATTATTCCTTTTATTTCTTTCTTTTGTCTAATTGCTCTGATTAAAGTTTACAGGAAGGACTATATTGAATAAGAGAAGAGACAGTGGACATCCTTATCTTGTTCTTGATTTTAGGGTTTTTTTTTTTGTTTGTTTGCTTGTTTGTTTTGTGGCTGGCTCCGAATGCCTTTGGCAGGTTTGGCTGGCTGGAGTTGTGGGGATCAAACCAGAGCAACCTGAGGCTGACTGCTTTGTTGAAGCAGCCACTTAAACAACTGAGCTAAGGGGCAGGCCCCTTGTTCTTGATTTTAGAGAGAAAGCGTTCAGTTTTTTTCCATCTAGTATGATGTTGGCTACTGGTTTGTAATAGATGACTTTTATCAGATTGAGATAAAGACCATCTATTCCATGTTCTCTAGGTGATCGTATGATTTTTTGTCCTCAACTACTAATACAGTGTATTACATTCATAGGTTTACATATACTGACTATCCCTGCATCCTTGGGATGAATCTCACCTGGTCATGGCATAAAATTTTCTTGATAATGTGCTACATTTTGTTTGAAAGTATTTTAATGAGGATTTTTGTGTCCATATTCATTAGGGAGCTTAGCCTGTAGTTCTCTCTCTTAGTTGGGTCCTTCTCTTGTTTTGGTATCAGAGTAATGCTTACTTCCAAGAATAAATTTGGGAGTATTGCTTTTGATTCAGTTTCATTAAAGAGTTTGAGAAGTGGTAGTATTAGATCTTCTCCAAATTTCTTGTGAAATTCAGCAGTGAATCCTTCATGGCCTGGGCTTTTTTATTGGTGGTAGGTTTTTACTTACATCATCATTTGATTGATTGATATTGGTTTATTTAGGATTTCTATATCTTCTTGATTCAGTTTTAGTAATTTGTATGTATCCAGGAATCTGTCCATTTCTTCTGTGTTTGCTTAGGCATGTTCACTGACTAGTATGTGGTCTGTTTTGGAGAACATCATGTGTTGAGCTGAGAAGAATGTGTGTTCTGATGTTGTGTCATGGAGCACATACAGACATCTAAGTGCATTTGTTCTAAAGTTTGGTTCAGTTCTGTTATTTCATTGCTTATTTTTTTGCCTAGTTGATCTGTCTTTTTGTGACACTGGGATATTGAGATCCCCCAGTACAATTGTATTAGTGCTTATTTGGTTTTTCATGTCCATTAATATTTGTTTTATATAGTGCACTGGAATTTGTTGCATATATACTTATGATTGTTACCTTTTTCTTTTGGATCATTTCTTTTACTAGGCTGTAGTGACTTTCTTTATTTCTCTGAATCAGTCTTAGCATGAAATTTACTTTGTCTGCAAATAGAATAACTACCCTGTTTTTTTCCCCTTGTGTTTCTGTCCCATGGAGTATTGTTTTTTATTCTTTGACTTTCAGCTATGCTTTTCTAAAAGTTGTTTCTTGTATGCAGAATATTGTTGGATCTTGTTTCTTGATCCATTGTGCCTGCCTGTGTCTTTTAATTGGTGAATTGAGACCATTAATATCGATGGTTGTAACCGATTTGTATTGACTTATCCTTGTCATGTTACTTTCCTGTTGTTGGTTCCCCCTCTTTTTTCCCCTCCCTCTGTTTCGTTGTTTGCTTTACCTGGTGGATTCCTTCTGTTGAAGTTCATGGAGTTATAGTCCTTGTTACTCTTTCTAGAATGTCCTTCAAAACATTTTGGTGTGCTGGTTTGGTGGTGATAAATTTCCTCAGATGTTCTTTGTCATGGAACTGTCTTATTTCTCTGTCAGTTTTGATAGATAGTTTTGCAGGGTACATCAATCTGAGTTGAAGATTATTTGAAATACTTCACTGCAAACTCTGCTTGACTTGTGGGTTTGTGCTGAGAAATAAGCTGAGATTCTGATGGACTTTCTTTTATAGGTGATTTGTTTCTTTTCCCTAACAGCTTTTAAGATTCTGTTGTTGAGTTGAATTTCTGGAATCTTGACTATGATATGCCTGGATGTATATATTTTTTGATTGTGGTTAATTGGAGTTCTATATACATCACTTAACTAGTATGTCAAATTCTTTTTCCCTACCAGGGAAGCTTTCTGCTATGATAGCTGATATCTGTGAACAGTTCTTTAAAAAAATATTTGTGCTATTTCTTGCTTTTTTCATTGACTCCAATCAATCCTTCCCCCCACCCCCCCCACCCCCGTATTTAGGACAGGATCTACAGGGTCTATAGGGTCTCACTAACATAGATTGGACTCATAGTGATTCTCCTGTTTTTAACCTCCCAAGTGCTGGGATTACAGGCGCATGCCACCATGTCCAGTCTCAGTTGCCACTCAGTGTACCCTGGGGGTGGGGCTGGTAGGCATGCCGGGCATCGAACCTTGGTTCTGGGCTCTGCATAAACAGGCGGTTTAGTCCATTGAGCTATTAGGCCAACCCTGACTCCAGTTAATCCTAAAGTAGTCTTCTTTGCCTCAGTCCAGCTGCTGGGCTGATTTCTCATGGTCCTTTGCTATTTTAAGGAATCTTTTTTCATGATCATTAACCACAAGCCTGTCTTATGCATCTGAGATCTTGTCCTCACATTGGCTTAATCTGCTGCAGATACTTTCAATAGAATTTTTAGTCTTCTGGATATCTGAATCTGATTTATGGCAGATTCATTTCGTTCCTGTGCCGAGCATTCATGGCTTCCATAATTTTCTTAAGCTCCTCTATTATTATAATATTATTATTATTATTATTATTATTATTATTATTTGCTTTGTTTCTATTTGGTCTAGAATCACTAAGTGTGGTTTTCATAGGGATATCATCTCTGCAGTGATCTGAGAAATGATTTTTTCTGATTTGATTTTCTCTAAGGTCTCATTCACTTGCTGTGTTGTTTTCGCTTCAGAGAGGCCAGGAGGGTGGCTTTTGGATTGTCCCGCCATGTTGCCCCCTATGTTTGCCTTTGGTGAGCTGGACGTCTGAGGTTGCATCTTGTTTAAGTGTCTTCTCACTTTCTTTTTCTTTCTTTTCTTTTTTCGTTTAACTCCTGGGTGATGTTTATAAATTGCCTATAGTAGGATGCATTGTTTCTAGTGTTTAGAGCCCTTAGGAAATGTCTGCTTCTCTAAGTTATCTTCCAGGTGTAGCTGGTTTTTGTGTCTTGCGTCTGTGGCAAGATCCTATGTCTTCAATTTGTTGGGGATGTGAATGCCCCTGTACTAACACTGCATTCTCTGTAACCATGCATAGTACTTAATTTGTTCCTCTCTTCTCCGTCAGCTTTTGAAGAGTTATTGGCTGGAACATTATGCAGAAAACTCTGTAAACCCTGGGATAATGATTTTGCTGGCCTGTAGTACATTGTCTCATACTTGCGGGCAGTTAGCAAGCTTCCCCTTGAACCTTATTAGAACTCGCATGCAGGCTGCAGGTGAGTTGTTGTTTTTTAATGAAGTGATAAGTTTAGAAGTATGTTTTAAGTGTACATTAATGATTTCTATACAATTGATAAATGAATCAAAATAAGTTCTGATTTAAAGGATGAAACTTGAGTTTATTATTTTATTGACTAGAGCTTTTTGAGAATTACAGATTTTATTTCTTAAGTTCTATTGGGACCTCTCCACATTTTCTTCAGTTACCGATTATCTTTTTAAGGAGTCCTTAATTTGGAAGTAACATGCAGAACTATATGGGAAAGGTTTTGCTTTCTTCAAATTGAATCAACAGTTACTTAACATGAATAGACAGTTTTTCCTTGGTTCTGCTATCATTGTCGTATTCCACATCAAGAGCTTAATATACTTGTAGAACTCAGTTATTCTGTATTTCATTGTACTTGGGGAGGGGATATTAGGCAGTAGGGACAATATCTGTTTTTTTCCTCTCTGAGTAAAATGTTAGGGATTTAGATTTCAAGAAAATACCTTCAAGCTAGGTGTGGTGGTGCGCACCTGTAACCCCTGTGCTCAGGGGGCTGAGGCAGGAGGATTGGCATGAATTCGAGGCCAACCAAGGCTACATAGTGGGTTCAAGGCCAGCCTGGACTATATGGAAGGACCCTGTATCAAAAGAAAATACCTTTATCACTTCAAAGAAAGGAAAAACCTCACATAATCCTATTTTTTTTTTCCTGAGGGATGTAAGGAGTCATGAGGTAGGTGATGTTCTTTTACATCTTATTTAACTGTATTGAAATTAAAGTGGAGAAGTTCTGTATCCATCCTACTGCCCATCCATTTTTCTTTAAACTATTTCATAATGAATTTGAAATGTCACTTTGATGTCTCTTATGAAAAACTTCTAAGTTGTTTAATAAAACTCTGCAATGATGGAAATATTTTCTATCTCTACTGTCTAATACAGTAGGCACTAGTCATATGTAGCTATCAAATGTTACCAATTTATTGGAGGAGCCCAAATGTTAGTTTACCTTTAATTAAATTTAAGTAGTCATATATGTCTAGTAGCTATCATATTAAACTGCACAGGACTGTTTTATATGTAGGGATATACTCTGAAGGAATTTTAGTTTCTATAAATTCTCATTTTCATTGGACTGATTTAGTGTGTAAATATTAAATACTGAACTGTACTGATTTTTTTTTAAATTATAGGCCTGGTCAAAAAAGAAAAAATATCTATGCTTCAACTCATTCAAGAAATATACAACAAAGAAGGAAAAAAAGGATTTTTCAGGGGAATCACTCCTAACATCATAAAGGTGCTTCCTGCAGTAGGCGTTGGCTGTGTGGCTTATGAGAAAGTCAAGCCATATTTTGGATTAACCTAGACGTGAAATATCAAATTGTTATCCTTGCCATAATCACTCAATTATAATTCCTAGATTATAAGGATTACCTTGTCCTAAGGGAAGTATCAAGGGATTATTAAAATATTGTCTCTTTATTATATTTATTATAAAATATGTAAATTAAATAATCATTTTGGCAAAGTTCTTAAAGTAATTTTAAGTCTTTAATATCTACAGAATTCTTTTTCTTGCTACTTTTTGTTAAATCCTAATTTAAAACTTGTTTCTGATTGGATTTAAATATACTATAGAGTAACATTATAAAACACTTGACCAGTTATAGTAGTTCATGTTGGTTTTTCGAAACAGTATTTAAAAAACCTCTTGATTTTTGAGACAGGGTCTCGCTCCCTAGTTCAGGCTGGCCTTAAACTCATGGTGATCCTCCTGCCTCAGCTTGTGCTAGGATTATAGCCATGTGCCACCATGCCCAGCTAAAACCTTTTTAAAGCTGGGTTTGAAAATGTTTTAAATGTTAAAAGAAAAATCAATACATTAAAAAACTGATGTTATAGTCAGTCATTGGGTTTGTTTTAAGCAAAATGGAAAGCTAGTTTCATATCCCTTTCTATCATGTTGTGTGGGTGGAATCATGATTATGTTTAAAAAAATTCCTGAGAATTTTTATTTCTAAATATAAGCATTATTCATGTTGGTTCTTAGTCTTTTTAGCTTGTATAAAAAAGTTGACATTGAGGAAAAGTCAACATTGGACAGATTTTCTTTTATCTTTCAGTTGAAACACTGGGAAGAAGAGTTACTAGAGTTCAGTTCATTATTTCCTATTTGTTAAAGCAATCTTTACTTAAACTTTAAGAGTTGATTGAATTAGTTCTTCAGCATGCTAAGCATTCACTCCTAATGCTTATTAAAAATACTGCACATGGGCCAGGAAGATAGCTCAGTAGAATAAGTGCTTGCCTGGCAAGCACAAGGTCCTGGGTTCAATCCCTGGTACCGCAAAAAAAAAAAAAAAAA